CTAGAAGTTATTTCCATATGAAGAGATTGTGTCCACTACTAATGTTGGAGGATTATAAATTTCTTATATCTTACATGATAGAATTTATATGATTAATCAGTTATTTTGCAACACACAACATTTTTTCTAGAATTGCATGACAAAATGAAGCACTTACTTTTTCATACATTTTTTTTTAAATCTGAGTACACTTGAAAGAAATCTAAACATGTATACTAGTTGGATACACATATTGTGATGAATATTATGAATTGATTCATTGTTTTTTTCTTTCTTTATTTTTAATTGTGTAAAAATACCTATCCTGATGGCTCTCGGTTTCTATTAAAACAGGTTTTTGTCTTTAGCATTTTGAATATTTGGTAGGTTTAGTTCATTACTACTATGTTATAATTTGGCTCATTGAATTCAAAGTCACCACATCTAGAGTTCAAATTTTAGTTTAATAGTTGGAGCATATATGAGAGTTGGATGGATACCTACTGTTGGTTTGTTGCACCTGATTTTCTCTTATTAGTTTTCCTTTCCCCTACTTCCCCACTGATTTTTGGTATGCTTCTATCTGCTTATTATTTTTTATTTTCTCTCTATTTTGCTCTATTTTTGCCTACATACTGGTAATTATTCTGCTATTACACTTAATGATGTTATTGCCTATATTTATTCAATATTTTTTCCTAATTGCTTCTCACTAGTAAATACTAACCACCTATATTCCTCACTGCTATTGGCTATGTGGACTCCCTGTTGTGCATAGTTCACTCGTCTTTTTTGGCATGGCTTGAAGTAAATGAAGAATTATGATTTACAAATTAAAGGCTAGAATTTTTATGGATGATTTGATGCTACTGAAATTCATGTTAATTGTATTGAATCTTGCTGTCATTGAGTAAAGCTTGATGGATTGTGAGCAGTTATTTTGGACTTTTGAATTATAACTAGGACCCCAAAGTATGCAAAAAAGAAAAAGGTTCTAGAGTCCAATACATATCTATCTTCTCCCAAATTTGTATGAGCGCCATGAATGTGCATTATTCAAGTGTTGGCAAGCCTTGATAATATTTTGTGGGATTAATCCCTTTCTATTAACATGAGAGGCTGTCGGCGCTTAAAAAAAAAA